GCGTCACTTCACCTATTTATTGACTTTCTTGTTTTTGTTGGAAGTTGGAAAAAACCCACTGTTGACAGCCAATAAAGTGCGTCACTCTCTCTTTTCTTATCAAATATCTGCTATGTAAGTGAAGGCTGCTATCCAACTATGCTGTGTACAAGGACACCGACTTTCCGCCAAAATACAACAAAAGCATCTGCATTAAGCATAACTCAAAAGACATACAGTATCACTGACAGAAAAAACGAGAAGGTTTCATGTTGTTTTATCGAACTTTTTCGAGACATGAAATATTCAGTGAAGTCTTCGTCAACATTTTATGATAGAACAGCACAAAAATGAACCATTGAGAAAGTTCATCTCTCAAAACTATACAGATTTCTGTAGAAAACGCAGAAGAGTACGAGACTCACCAATTTTCATGTTGACTTGCTAGAATTCCAGTTTGTAGTGGGCATATTAATGATTAATGAGCTAGAATAAAATGAACTGCTTGAAAGTAGATTTCGAAGTAAAATTAGAAGAAAGTAGAGTAAGAGTAAAAATAATGAGTAGTCCGAAGAAAGTCAAAACTTTAAAAACTAACATAAGAAGAAAACGCTATTTATTTTGAAGATACGAGTGAAGAGACAAACCATCACATACGACACGCGCAGATATCACTTCGTTGTTTCACATGATCGATAAGATTTTTAGTTAACAGCGAGAAAAATATATTATACATTGTAGGCGAAATATAAAAGTAGAGTATACGATAAATCTATACAATATAACCAGGGGTGGCGCGAGTCAGCCAACATTGGGGAGTGTAACAAAAAATTTTTGAATTTTTGGGGGGTGTAGTGGAATTTTTTTGATTTTTTAGGGGGTGTAGCATGATCTTTGTTCAAAAACTTAAGAAAACTTGCCGATTTTGTTGAGCAAAAAATAGAAATTTTCAAAGATTGGGGGGGGGGGTGTTACACCCCCCACACCCCCCCCCCCCGGTCGCGCCACCCCTGAATATAACCAAAGAAACACTTGTGGCATGAAGTGCGAAGTAATGATAGGAATATCAGGAGACTGAGCTATCAATCATAGATATGTTAATAAAGACTGCTAAATGATGATCGCCATATCGCTTATAATTGGCCGCACATAATAGTGTGTAGGTGGATGTGAGTCTGAATAGCTGGTATACATGAACATCATATCAACACCCACCCGACAAGACGGTTATGGCCAGTAGAAGTGACTTATTATTGTTATCTTCTTCCTATCCAATATAAACAATAGACAAGAAAAGAAAAGAAAACAGGGGAAAATGTGAAAGAGAAAAAAACTAGAAGAATAAATATACATATAAAGTATGTGTAAAACTTTCTAGTTTTTATTTAACATCAATAAACAGCCTGCCGAAACGGCTTCGACCTCTGAAAATGTCATAGAAAAACTGGAAGGAAAGCCTTTCAGAAAAAGTTGTTTAAAATAAATTCAAGTAGTATAATATCATATAGGTTTTGTACTGAATCCTGACTTGATGTCTAATGATTAGACGTAAAGTTTAGAAACACGTTTCTAATAATGGCTGCGGCGGCAACTGCTTCGTCTCTGGAAATGTTTCGACTAGTAACAAATCTAATTGTGTTTCCATTCCATGGAAGAGCTAAGACTCCCTGTTGTTTCATAGCGTCTAATATCAAAGATTTATCATCTGCAATACCATTTAAGTCAACAATCACAATGTTTGTTTCTACTTTACTAACTTGTTTACACGGGACAACTTTAAGTAATTCTGCTTCAATCAGCTTTGCGTGTTCATGATCTCGTTTAAAGATCGCCTCCCAGTTTTCATCGAGTGAATATAACGCTGAGGCAGCCATATAACCGACTTGATGAAGAGTACCGCCAAACCACTTTCTGTACACCTTTATTTTTTCAATGAAATCTCGGCTTCCAGCAAGTACTGCTCCGAATGGCGCTCCTAATCCCTTGGTAAAACACATTCCTACACTATCAGCGTAGGCAGCTACCTCATGTGGTCGTGAATTGCTTGCTATGCAAGCATTAAGAAGCCTTGCTCCGTCAATGTGAACGATCAGACTATGTAGATCAGCATACGCTTTAATTGCTCTTAGCTCATCCATGGAAAGAACAGCCCCTCCACTCACATTCACTGTATTCTCTAAAAAGATTAGGGTTGGTTTAGCGTACATAGAGCCCCGTGGTTTGGAGCCAATAGCATTCTGGATATCATTAACAGTGATTAGACCTCTGTTAGCATGAGTCAAGTTTAAGGTAACACCACCTATGGCGGCAGTCTGTGCCGATTCATAATAGTTAATATGATACGAGGCGTCAGTAACTACTTCGTCACCTGGTTTGGTATGAGCTCTAATTGCAATTTGATTAGCCATGGTTCCGGTAGAAATAAGCAATGCAGCCTCTTTCCCAAAGAATGATGCACAATAATCTTCTAATTGATTAACAGTATCGTCTTCGCCATATGCTGCGTCTCCAACAGAGACAGACATCATAGCGTTTTTCATTCCATCATTTTGAAGTGTTAAAGTATCACTTCGCAGGTCAACTACGCTCTTGTTTGAGACAGCGGTTGAACGATAGGTAGCCTTGAGCATTTGTTGGCACTGAGTCACTTCCTGTTTAACGAGAGCTTCATTGTTTGATGAAAAATAAGCACTAATAGTATCGTACTCTTGCATTATTTTACCAGCAGGAGGGGCTTCAATTTCGGTCAAGGTTTTATACTTGTGTTTTCCAGGCAAGTTGATACTGTCAAAAACAAAGGTTCTATTGCGATCAGGTGTCGGTACCCAAACACCACCCATATACACAGCTTCCGGTAACATGACTATTTCCGGGTTAAGTCCTGAATCGATTCGAATCATTTGAATCATTAAATCCACCCCGAATTTCACCATGAGCTTTCTGGCTACTCCACCACCTGGCCTGGCTGCAATTTCAAGAAAGTAGAATTTTCCATCTTTTTTGTTTTTCAACAGCTCGAGATGAAAGATCCCATTTGAATAACCAAATTCTTTTACGACTGAGTTGGAAATAGCCTCAACTTCGAAGCGAGTTTTTGGATCTGAAACAAGGAGTTCAGCTAGATTTATTCTGCTATTGAAGAAATCAAAGCAAGATGGATAATCATGGAAGACTACGAAGAATTGAACTTGTTGATTCTGAACGATTCCATCCACTCGATAGGTTTCACCATCAATAAATTGCTCAATCAGGTAATCTTGGGGATCTAATTGTTCAATAATCTTAAGATCTTCATTGCTTCTGAGAATGTGCACGCCTTTAGATCCTGTCTCATTTCTTAGCTTGAGAACAATTGGTAGACTTGTTTTTTCGATTAGTAATATCGCTTCTTCTACTGTGGCCTGTACCATGGCCGATGTGCGTATATCGACTTCGATCGCACGTTTTTTCATTTCATATTTATCAACAAACAAAGTTGCGACGCTATCTCTTGTGCCTATTGGAATATTGAAGTTGGCTCGTAATCGTGCTGCAATTTTTACAAGTGTTTCCTTTCTCGACGACAATGCAATCGCACTAATTGAGCCGCGAATATTTTTAATTGTATTCAAGCATGCCACATATTGTTCATATTCAATACTATCTACTGAACATATTATCCCATCTTTTTCTTTCAATAATGCTACTCGTTCCGAATCTTTTTTGAAACAAATGAAGTCAATATGATTGAAGACTGAATCGGTAATGTCTCTTAGCGTTCTTGATGATTCATATGAGTCCATCAAAACGACCAAGGTTGAGGCCGAAACATTTTGCACCGTCATCTGAAAACTAAATTAGTTAAAAAAACTTTCGCAGAATCCATTTACATGCAGATCTTTCCAGTAGCTCAACGAATGTAATGATTTCAACCACTTAATATGATAGAGGTTGGACTTTTCAAGTAAACGACTACCTATCTAGTCAAACTTTTTAATCTCAGCGGGTTCTTATTATGGTAGTGCTATTTTTGATAGTCACAGAAAATCTGTTTAATATGTCATTTGAAGACTCTCATTAGTTAGGGAATCAACTACGATTCAATCAATCTCGCTATATGAGCTGTGTTGATCTGACGCAGGTAACTAACAATAAAGACGGAGAGCTACTTCGAACGCCATGTCGAGAATACTTAGATTTATATACGATTGTCGGCATAGAGGCAAAGCTTAGCCAGCATCTTTGCAAAAGACGAAATTAATACAATGAGCTACGGGATGGAAGAATCTATAAGCCTTTTACCGGAAGATGCTTCAACAGAAATTAGATGTTTCGAATCACCATTCAATTACAAACACTGATAGCAGATGTTCGTTACGATCCCCGGACACTGGAAAAAAAACAAAGTGTTTAGAATCAGGTGTACGAGCGGACTCTCTCTGCCATAGTGATCTTTCAACACAGACACATATAAATAAGCTGATATTTTTAGGAATAAAAGATTCAGTGGTGAGTTCCAAGTTGATACTAATATAGATAGGGTTCAAATAGGAATACAACCTGTCCACCTGTGTGGGTAAAATCAATATATCGATTTAGACACAACAAATACAGGCATTTTGTAGAGCATCCTTGATAGTGCCGGAAAATGTGCTTTTTTTAATTCTGGGGTGTATCTGTATCTTTAAGAAAAGTTTGTTGTCAAGAGATGCACCCACAGAACCATTAAAAACTAATAAACGTCACTTGTGGCATGCTTTGGTTTTTGTACGAAGAAATATTACTCTTGCTAAATTTGATAGTATCTGTACAACTAACTTGCACTGGCTTTCTATTGATGCCATAGGATCTACACTCAATAATTTCCAGAAAGAGATATTTACATTAATAAATTAGCCTATTTCTTAGCATGATTGAGTCACGAAAATACTCTGTAATTCATTTTTTCATCTGAAACAAAAGAGTTTTGATTTTGTCTATAGATAGTCTAACGCTAATTTTGTATGCTCTATTATGTGAACAACTTTGCTTTTCAAAACGTATTCGAGTTTAGTTGAACGAGCGTGACTGAATCACCATTACAAAGTGAATTACATTACTTGCATTAAAAAAATTCATTTTTCTCTCATACTAGCAGTGTGGGACTTAAAACTAGGATAGTTATAACTCGGGTTATAACTTTTTGGGTTATAACTGATCAACTTATTGGCCAAAAAGTTAATTGAGTTGTAACTATCAACCGGCGTTATAACTATCAACTACAGTTATAACCATCAACTACATCAATTTTGTCAATCTTACTAGCACTTAGATTTTTATAAAGATCTTAATGCTAGTGAGATTGACAAAATTGATGCAGTTTATGGTTATAACTGTAGTTGATAGTTACAACTCTAGTTATAACTGTTTCAACTTTTCACCGATTTTGTCAACTATCAACTTTTTGAAAAATAGTTTTAACTTCCACACTGTCCGTCACGCTTGGACAGGTCGAATAGTTAATTCAAAAATAATATGAAAAAAATGCGCTTTTAGAGGAGAAACCTAGTTAGAAGGATGTGGGTATGTTCCATTGCAAATATTCCCACACCGACACCTTCAACTCGATAGAAAAAACTGGTATTATCTGACATTGCTTACATTTGACCTACACAGCTTACACACAGAATACTTACTATGAAAATAAAGTTTGTCTTTAACTACTTTCAACGGAATGTAGATAAAAATGATTCCATTTAAAAAAAAATAGATGCTTTTATGAGGCCACAGAAAAATAAACTGCCTAAAATTTTTACCAACCAACTCAATATTACTTTTACTTGGAAAAAAATAAAAAGTGAATATTTTTCCGTTCTTTCTTTATGAAGAACGAAAAATACGAAGATATAGTTTGATTATGTCAATAACATACAGTAAAGGAATAAAAGAAACATACCGTTTGTGTCAATAAATGTCGTATTCTTTCCAACATAGAGTTAAAGGTTGATCGTTATAAATAAACCAGCGGTAACGTGTGCAAATTATACGGGTTGCACTAACATTCTTGAGAGTGGTCGTGGTTGAGAGTGTGGGTGTGAGGGTGTGGGTGGGTGTGAACTAAGAACAATATCCATCTTACACCAACACCCACATTCGTCCATCGTATTAAACTTTATAGTGTTCAGCTTTCTCAATTGATATTTCGTACCTTTTCAAACGATAAACTCTGCATTTCTAATAAAAACGGCGGGTGTG